AAATCTGGGGCATCTTGCGGCCGCCTCGTTTCCCGATGTCCTTATGCCTCGGCTCCGTCGCGGGATCGACCCGCTCGAGTTCGTGCCGGATCCTGAAGGGCATCAGGTTCAGGCGAAAAGGCGGCCGCCAGGATGGGTGCCCAGGGGTGCCCTCCCAGCTGGCTCAGGCTCATTGGTCTCACAGGCAGATTCTGGCCTTGGCTGAGCCGTGTTTGAAGCGCCCAACCGAGCCCTTAAGGAACTGAAGCAGGGTAAGGACCCCACCTCCAAGCTGCCCATCCCTCGGTCTAGCCCCGCGGTGCCACCTCTGTCCCCTCGCCGCGTCGGCTGGGCAAGGGGGTTCTATGAGGTGTTGGCCGGGAGGCGGGAGATTTGCTGGGAGGATTCGGATTGGCGGAGTTTGAGGTTGGGCGCCCGAGGCACCGCGACTGGCCCTTCGCTCAGCGTCTCGTGGAGGCCATGTGCATTGCGGTGGTTCCATAAGGGCCACCGCGGAAAGGACGGAAGGAGGGGGAAGGGGGAGGAGGGTGGGAGGGGGAGGGAGAATAGGAGGGATCAGAGGAGGGGGAGACGGAGGATCAGAGGAGGAACCGAGGGGGAGGAGGAGGAGGAGGAGGAGGAGGAGGAGGAGGAGGAGGAGAAGGAGGAGGAGGGAGGAGGAGGAGGAGGAATGAACGCCACAGGTTCGGCCGTAAGATTGGTCCAACATGAAGAGGACGAGGAGGATGAGGAGGAAGAGGATGAGGAGGATTAGAGGAAAGGGATCCGAGGGGGAGGGGGAGGGGGGGGATGCATCAAAGGGTACGATAATCAGAGGAGGAGAAGGAGGATGAGGAGGAGGAGGAGGAGGAGGAGGATCACAGCAGCAGGTGGACGACAGCGTTTTTGTGTGGGTCCAGAGGTAATCCAGGTTTTCGGGCCCGCTTGCCCACCCCTCTCTGGGAACCGAGTCTTGTTGGTGGCGCAGGTCCGAAGGGGGCATGCAGTATTGGTAGGGGTTGGCATACGCAGGCCTGCCCAATAGCGAAAAGGTGAATCGGCCGCCCCTCCCCCTCTCAGTTGATCGTTGACAAGATTCAATCAATGTCGAGGACGATCCGAGGAGGAGAATCGAGGAATAACCAGTTTGCATATGAACACACACATGTTCGACGGTCCGCGTGGATCCCTTGGATCGATTATGGGTCCCCCTGGCGGTGCCACCGGGGCCGCCCCTTGGCGCGGCGCGCTCCGCGCGGCAAGGAGGAGGGGGTCCAGCGACGACCCGAAGAGTCCGCCAAGACCTCCGACAAATTATCTTCGTATGCTGTTGATTGTGGCCCCCTCCGGAGAAGAGATCGATGCTTAAATCGGGCCTGTGCCTCTACAGGAGGAATATCAAAACATAGTAAACAACATATTGTCTGGGGACGATGTTTCGACTGGTTATGTCTGACATGTTTGATTATGTTGGTGACCATTTGTCATTTTTCCTCCCAAATCCGCCTGTATGAGGACATGCCCGACCTAAATCGATACGCTTCGAAGGAGTGACCTCTGCCGTGAGTCCACGGGGGCACGGAGGCCTCCGCTCGCGGCACACGATGTGACAGCGGTCACCCGCGCGTCTCGGTCCGGCCCCCCCCCTGGATCCGCAGAAAGCCGCGCACCGAAGGTCATCGTTGCCCAGGGCCACTCCTGGACTCCTGGCGTGTAGCCGACTGTGTGCAGCGGCTGGAATCTCCCTAACAAAAATCTGGTCGGAACGCATCCCTTGGCAGCACCAGGGATCGACTTTTTGACGGACGGGCGTGTGGTGTCAGGAATTTTGTGCTCAGCGCGTCTTGCCGCCGGATTTTGGCAGCGGCCCCGTCCCGCCCTTGTGCCTGGCGTTGCTCGCCTCTCTGTTTTTCCTTTTGCTGGTGGCGCGGCCCGCCCCAGCTTGCTCGGCGTTCGACCTCCGATGTTCCCTTCAGAGCTGGCCAAAGGACGACCCCGACACGCATGGAGGCCGACCCCGCGCCCACAACAGCGGAGCGCCCAGGGCAGCCTCTTGCGCGCGCAAACTCGTATACAGTCGAGGTTCGGGGCGCTGCTTCGGCATGGGCGCGCTAAGGTCACTGCTTCGGCATGGGCGCTTGGGTCGCTGCTTCGGCATGGGCGGTACAGCGCTGCATACGGCAGCGTCGACCTTTCCCCCTCTCGATTGGGATTGCGGGAGAAAATAAAGCAGCTTGCTCGGCGTTCGACTCTGCTTCGCGCGCCCGCGAACCAAAAAGTGTCGTGCCGCCGGTTCTGGCCCACCACGGTCCCTGGGCGTCAGCGTCCCGAGCTTCTCCTGGCCTCTCGCCCCGCGGAGCGGAGCGGCGCCGCCTGCCAGGCACAGCGTGTCGCCGGGGCCGCCAGTGCGACACGCTACGCAACAGTTTCCGACCGCCGCCAGGCGCAGGGCCCAACCCGGTGCGATTGCGGGCAGAGCAGGGCGTGTCCCTCTGTGCGCGTATGTGCACTGCGCGCCTCGGGGCGGCGCGCGCGGGCGCGTCGCAGACCCAGTGGGGCACGCGACGTGGGAGGGGTGTGCCGAGACGGGCGTGGTGCGGCATGCGTCCGCGCCCGCGGGGGTCCAGGTGACCTTCCTGGTGCAGGCACGGGTCGCGTGGTCGGTCTGCCGGCCCGGGTGCGGGGCGGAGTGCCGCAGGCGCCAAATGGGGGCCGTAGGTAGATTCCCTCAGGGGCACGAAGCGTGTGAGGGGTGTGCCGGCATGGGGGTGGGGCGGCATGCGGTCGCACCCAAAGATTCCGCAGGTAGCTTCCCTCAGGGGCACGAAGCGTGTGAGGGGTGTGCCGGCACGGGCGTGGGGCGGCATGGGGTCGCACCCAAAGGGGCCGTAGGTGGAGCCCTCTTCGGGGCACGACGCGCGTGAGGAGTATGCCGACATGGGCGTGGGGCGGCATGCGCCGCGCCCACGGTGGGCCGTAGGTGGAGCCATGGGGCATGCGAGGAGTATGCCGAGATGGGCGTGGGGAGTTTACGTCCGCGTGCATTGTGGCGTGTACCAGCCTGAAACATGCAGTCAGCCCGCACAGTAAGGATGGGCAACCTTTCCAAGGGTGCCCTTGCATCCTCGCCTCCTCGGTCCATCCTTCGCCGCTCGTGGGCCGCGCCCCGCTCGAAAAGCTTCAAAGTGGGCGTCCAAGGCCCTTGCATCTTTATCGCGCGAACTCATGATACGGGCCGACTGTATGGGGCATGAGAGATGTGTGCCGAGATGGGCATGGGGCGGCGTAAGTCCGCGTGCATTGGGGCGTGAGCCAGCGTGAAACGTATCCAGCATGTTCCCTCTTAATTGCATCACTTTACCTTGCTGCCGATCTTGGGGTGTCCCTCAGCTTCTCAGGGGACATCTCTGAAATTGTCATCGCCTTTTTTTGGGGGGGCAATTTTGGGGCATGGTCATGCTGGAGTCCCAGTAGCTGTAGGTCAAGCTCATCGGTTGGCCCTCCGCTGGCAAGTTCATCGTGTCTAAGGGCAAACAAGTTCAAGCCGATGACGAGCATGACGGCGACGACGGCGACGACGACGACGACGACGACGACGACGACGACGGCGACGGCGACGACGACGACGAAAGCGACGACGACGACGGCGACGACGGCGACGACGACGCTTGCGCCAGCACAGGCGCCGAAGGTGGGAGGGTTCGGGTGGGGGGAGCGGAGAGAGAAGTCCCCCTGGTTCTGTTCGACGGCGCCGAGTGTTCGAGGGGGGGGGCCGTGTCAAACGCGCCAACGAATGTTCTCAAGGCAAGCGCCCGTGAAACGCGCTTCCTCAGACAGAGAGCGGGGAGGGGCAGGAGAGAGAGGGTGAGGGAGAGAGAAAGAGAGAAAGAGAGAGAAGAAGAAGAAGAAGAAGAAGAGAGGGAGAGAGAGAAGAGAGGGACAGAGAGAGAAGAGAGGGAGAGGGAGAGAGAGAGAAAGAGATAGACATCTAGGCACGCTCGCGCTATACGTATGCTCATATATGCACATATACATGTCATCTTACCCCGTGCACCCATCCGTTCCCATTGCGCCGATTTAGTCTCTACGGGCCGACGAGTATTATAGCGGACACCTGGGACCCTCAAAGACACCGTCGTACTCCGCGCGAGCAGGAAGGGGAGTTGCGTACACTGTAGGGGGAGGGGTGCATTCCGTCCGACGGCTCGAGGTTCGGTCGGAGCTGGGTGATGCAGACGCAGCCGCTAGCAGAGCCACTGAACCTGCTGCTGCTGCTGCTGCTGCGGCTGCTCTCTCCCCTCTTCCTCCCACCCTCCTCCTCCTCCTCCTCCTCCTCCTCCTCCTCCTCCTGCTCCTGCTCCTCCTCCTCCTCGTCGTCCTCCTCTCCTCCTCCTCCCTCCTCCTCCTCCTCCTCCTCCCTCCTCCTCCTCCCCGTCCTCCTCCACCTCCTTTCCCTCCTACACCCCCTCCTCCTTCTTGCCCCCCCCCCCATCCTCCTCTCCCTCCTCCGCCTCCTCTCCTTCCTCTCTCTGTCCCCTCTCCGCCTCCCCTCCGCTGCGCTGTGCAGCCCCTGGGAGCTGGACGGTTGCGCGACAGGGCAACATGATCACAGGAGGATCGAGGGAGGAGGGCGAGGAGGAAGAGCACGAGGGCGAGGAGGAGGGCGGGGAGGGCGAGGGAGGATCGAGGGAGGAGGGCGAGGAGGGCGAGGAGGATCGAGGGAGGGGGGCGAGGAGGATCGAGGGAGCAGCAGCAGGAGGAGCTTGAAGCACTTCGGAGCGGCGCGACGGGGCCTCGGGGTCGCAGGATGATCGAGGGGGGAGGGCGAGGAGCAGCAGCAGCAGCAGCACGAGGGCGAGGGCGAGGAGGGTCGCGGGGGAGGGCGAGGAGCCGGAGCAAGAGGAGCGGGAGGGGGCAGGAGGAGCAGGGGGAGGGAGTGCGGGAGAGAGCGAGAGAGAGCGAGAGAGGGAGAGAGAGAGAGAGAGAGGGAGAGAGGCGGAGAGCGCTCGGCCCCGGGAGAGGCCGCGGCCTCCCGCCCGAGCTGCCCCCCGCCGCGGCGGTCTGAGCCTGCGCGCGCGCGCGGCCCCGCGGCGCGGCCCCGCGGGCAGGGCGGGGCAGGGCGGGCCTCGGTGGGTCCGAGGTGGTGTCCTGAGGCGAGGGGGGAGGAGGAGGAGGGAGGAGGAGGAGGAGGAGGAGGAGGAGGAGGAGGAGGAGGAGGAGGAGGAGGAGGAGGAGGAGGAGGAGGAGGGAGGAGGAGGAGGAGAGGAGGAGGAGGAGGAGGAGGAGGAGGAGAGGAGGAGGAGGAGGAGAGGAGGAGGAGGAGGGGGAGGAGGAGGAGGAGGAGGAGGAGGAGGAGGAGGAGGAGGAGGAGGAGGAGGAGGAGGAGAGGGGGTCCCGAGGACGAGCTGCCTCAAGGTCAAGGTCAAGGTCAAGCCTGTGTGCCCGCGAAGGGGCGGCCGCTCAGGGCACAGGGGGGTGAGAACTCTAGCAGGCGCTCGTGCGGTGAAGGAGATCTCCGGTCATACACTTCCATGAGCATGCGTCTCTGGCTGCTACTCTCCAGTCACCGATCCCGTACTTGTCGCAGAAGCTCTGGACATCGGACTCCCACGTTTTCCAGGACGAATTGCCCCGCACAACGTACATCGGAGAAGAAAGAACGCTATAAGCATACACTGTTGGCGCTTTGCGCGGGTTTCTCGGATCCGCGCTGGGCCCCCCCCCGGCGGCGCCTCCGGCGCCGCCCCTGCCGCGCTCCGCGCGCCAGGGAGGGGGGCCCGGAGATCCATCGGGCCCCATCCTAGATTCTTAGATCCCTTCCTATCCTCGGGCCCCCATCACTCAGGGCCCCATCTTTGAGCCACCGAGGGTCGGCGTTCTCCCCGGAGCCTCGCCCTCGTCGCCGTCGTCCCCTCCTCCCGGGCCCTCGTCGCAGAGCGGGCGCGTCCGAAGAGAGGCCAGCCTGCCAGCAGTAGCTCCGCGGGGGCACCTTCTCCCCCAGAGTCCTTCGGGACCCACGGAAGGGGGCTTTCATCACCCAGACCACCTGGGGACACACACACACACACACACGCGAGGTCTCCCCCTCCTCCTCCCCCTCCCCCTCCTCCTCCTCCTCCTCCTCCTCCTCCTCCTCCTCCTCCTCCTCCCTCGCTACTCTTGGAGGAGTTCGGAGGATCAGCATACAGAACACTCGGCTTTCGAAGGCGTCGTCCAGATCTCGTCGGCTGCAGATTTTACAGAGCGCGGGTGCGGATATATCCATGGTGTATCGTATGGGGCCCACAGCAGTGGCTTTATGGGGCTCTAGTGTATCGGGCATTGCACCTACTCGAATGGCAGGGCTCAGGATTTCAGCTGTATCATCTTTGGGGCGCCTCCCGCGCGGGGCCTCTGTGGGGCTCAGGGTGTACACATTCGACCTGGGGCCCAAGATGGACCCTTTGACGGTGTACGTGGGGCATGTGATGTTTATGTGGGCTACGGCGGTTTGGGAGTCGGTCCCGAATGCACAAGTTTTGGCCAATACGATGCAATGCAGCAGGGCTAAGTTGTCTAAGATGGAGCATCCTTGGCGCAGCTGTGCATCGCCTTCGGACGTCGCCCTGCTCTGCCTCAGGGGCATAGGCTGGGACTTTAAGGACAGCACCCACATCGTGTCAGACCTCGGAGTCGAGTACAACCTGTTGCAGTTGTCCCCGATGCAAGTACGAGGTTTAGTCAGGCAAGGAGCTTCTCGGGAATCTGACCGTCATGCCCTCAGCACCCAGATCGGCCCGAATGGGCCCGTTGGTTCCAATCTTCTGGAGTGGCATTCGTGAGCTGACGAAACGCAAAGGGGGCTCCTGGACGAAGCATCATCAGAGGTGTCTCCGAGGTCTGGTTGCAGGTGTACACTGGCTGCAGGCGAGGCTGTGCAATCTTGGGCTGCATCCTGATCATCTTTGTCAGCTCTGTCGAGGAGCACCTGGTACTTTGTGGCACCGTCAGTACGAGTGTCCTGCTCACGAGCCCCTCCGCAGAGATCATGTAGGACACAGGCTGAAACAATGTGCTGCACGCGTAAAAGAGCTGCCAATCCTCAGTGAGAGGCTTGCTCGAGGGACCTTTCCCGATCCTCAGGCCCTTTTCGAGCTCCCAGAGGTTCAAGAGACCATCCAGTGGCACAATCGTCCCTCGTCAGGTGTGCTTTCAGGACTCCTGTTCCTCGGCGTGTCCGCCAAGTGGGCCAACCTGGAGGGCATGTCTAGAGTTGGGTGGGCGATATGCAGCGTTGATCCGTTTGGAAATCTGATTTCAGCTGTATATGGACTTGTACCAGTGAGTGCCGCCCCTCAGCAGACCAGTAAGGATTGGGAGGACTACGCTGTACATATGCTGACGCAGCTTGGTCTTCCCCCGTTTCAGTTGTGTATCGACTGTCGGTCATTTTTGGATTCCTTGGCCAACGGTCCTGGGAGTTTTGTTGGTCCTGGGGCGCCGAGGGGTCATCTCTGGGGCCCGTTTTGGTCCGCGTTCGGCCAAGGGGACTTTGAAGTTTTTAAGACCAAGGCCCACGCGACGGCCTCTGATGTCCAGTCTGGAGTCACCACGGTGTGGGAGCAGCGTGCGAATCAGCATGCTGACACCTTCGCCAAGGCTGGCGTCGATCTGCATGGGCGGACGGAGGAAGAGATGTATTTGTGGCGAGGCCTTCGGAGCCTGGCCATGGAAGCTGGGAGATGGGCGGCTTGTCTAGAGGTGGCCCTCTCGTCTCTGCCAGGGAGGGACACGACTGGCCTGGAGGCCTCAGCCGTGGCCTCTCCGCCCCCAGCGCCTGCCGCCGCTGCTGCTGAAGCCGACCTCTCCAGCCAGACAATGGCTGAGGACGGGCGGCCTTCGGTGGAGGGGGAGGACTTGGGGGATTGGGACTCGTTTGCCCTCCTGGTGTTCCGTGTCAACGGCCACGCCCTGCTTGGGGCTGGAGTTTTGTATGTTGTAGGGAACACCAAAGAGAGGCTTCAGTTCTGTGTCGAATGCGGTAGTTTTGGCTCGGGGGGGAACCCCTCGAAAGGATTGCTCGGCCCATGTAGACCCAAGACGGGTGCCACGGGAGGGCTCAGTGATCAGTTGAGGAGAACTCGGCAGTCCAAGTTTCCCTCGTATAAGCATGACCTGAAGGGGCTGCTCCTTGGGCCCCATGTGGGCCTCACCCTCGCTGAGCGGCTGGCCCTGGCGGCTTCGGTGTTGTCGGGTGGTCCTGGGGCGCTGCGGGGTAGCCTTTCAGGAAAATTCGACTCCCAGGGCGGGTGCGCCTGCAGGGAGCAGGTTTTGGATTCCTTTGGGCTCGTGGAAGCCGGCCTCGCTTGGGTCAGGGACCTTGGGGTGGCCTCCGCGCGCCCAAGGGCCCCTCTCGAGGAGGAGACCGATTCGGAAGCGTCCGATCTGGTCTGATCTTGGATTTTCGGCTTCAGGCCCGTCCCCAACAACCTCCTCCTCCTCCTCCTCCTCCTACTCCTCCTCCTCGTTCTCCCCCTCCCCCTCCTCCCCCTCCTCCTCCGCCTCCTTGCAAAGGGCCGGGTAAGCCCTGTTCAGGCCCCAGCGGCGTGAGCCGCAAACTTGGTTTGAAACGCCTTTTGTTCGGGCTCGGCGGCGTGAGCGCGAACCTGGTCTGAAACGCCCTTGTCGCAGAAACCCGCGTCCAGATGCATTCGGGATCGCAAGCCATCGAACTCTGCACAATTCAGGTCGGAACGCAGTCGTGCGCGGCACATCCCAGTCGGGGTGGCTTCTCTCGCGCGCCGCAAGCCCACTTTCAACATTCGATTCAACGAATGCCCCAGTCCGAGGGCGATCCCAACAGGTCGGCATTTTGGTTGCCCTGCTCGACCATACGTGTCAGTCCGTCCCCTCCGATACTTCCAGGCCGACCTAGGCTCGGGAGCCACGTGGAGCTGACGCCCCCCCTCCTCCCGTCCCCCCCATTGGGCACGGCCTGACCCGTCGGACTTCGGACGACAGAGCATCGGGCAAGGACTTCGCGCTGCGGGGGGGGGGGTCGAAGGCAGGGGCCTTCCGGAAGGCCCCGCAGGCTTCCGAGACGGCTGCCCAGATGCCGGGCGCGCGTCCGAGAAATTACCGCGAAAATAAGGAGGATGAGGAGGGGGTGAGGCGGATGAGGAGGGGGAGGAGGAAGGGGGGAGGAGGAGGAGGAGGAGGAGGAGGAGGAGGAGGAGGAGGAGGAGGAGGAGGAGGAGGAAGAGGAGGAGGACGAGGAGGAGGAGGAGGACGACGACGAGGAGAAGGACGATCAGGAGGAGGAGGAGGAAGAAGAGGATGAGGAGGCAAGGAGGCAAGGCGAAACAACGTTCCCCTCCCCACCCGTTTCCGCGGGCTCCGGGCCCGTCCCCGAGGGAGGGGGCCGGCGACTCCAGGCCTCCACTCCGCTTCCGTGAGACGAAGGACAGGGAGGAGCCAAAGGGGGGATGAGGAGCAGGAGGAGGAGGAGGAGGACGAGCACGGGCGGGGCGGGTGGTCGAGGCTTTACACCATGGTCGCGGCGCTCATGGCGTTCAGAGTAGTGGGGAGTGAAGAGAAGCCCTTCGGAGCGAAGAGGGGGAATCCAGTCCTCGTAGATGGGGTCCGTGCGGATGGGGTCGGAGGCTCGCGCCGCATCGCCGATGCATCGCCGACGCGGCTCGATGTGGAGCCCGATTTCTTCGACGCCGACGTTGCCGATGCATCGCCGACGTCGCCAGTGCATCGCCGATGCATCGTCGTTGCATCGGCGATGCATCGCCGATGCATCGGTGATGCGGGGACATCCTCCGACACTATCATCCAGGAGGACCCTGCGCGATGATGGTGATGATGACGATACTGACGGTCATGATGATGCTGACAATAATGATGATGATGATGATGATGATGATGATGATGATGATGATGATGATGATGATGATGATGATGATGATGATGATGATGAGGATGCTGAGGATGATGATGATGATGATGAAGGTACTGATGATGCTGATGATGATGATGATGATGATGATGATGATGATGATGATGATGGTAATGATGAAG